TTCTTTCTTTCTTTCTTTCTTTCTTTCTTTCTTTCTTTCTTTCTTCTGCTCTGTGGCTGATCACCTTCCCACATCCGGCAGTAATCACCTTTCCACATCCGGCAGCCCCTCACTGAAGGTAGCCAGCATCCCATTCCTAATTGGTGACAGCAAACTTTGCTGTCCCACACCACAATTTGCCCATCACCAGGCTGTGCTATATTAAGTGAATCCCTAACACCTCCACCAAGTTAACACGTTTCCAGATGTCCACATTGGCTCAGCGAACTCCGGCCAGCTCAGTTCCATCGTGCTGCTTCAATCAGCTGGGCGTCGCATCATGACTAGCCCATGCCCTGCTGACATGTATTGTTAGCACCCACCACTGTTGTGGGGCAAGAAGTGGATCTGAAGCTCTGTTGCTGAGCTGATGTCTCAGCTGGTTTGGAGAGTTCGCGGCAGGCTTTACTTGTGGCTAGCCTTCACCAGCTGATACATCTGATGGTGTCAAGCTGCGGCTCCAGCCGAGTGCGATTCTTTCTTTCTTTCTTTCTTTCTTTCTTTCTTTCTTTCTTTCTTTCTTTCTTTCTTTCTTTCTTTCTTTCTTTCTTTCTTTCTTTCTTTCTTTCTTTCTTTCTTTCTTTCTTCTGCTCTGTGCCGCAGCTCTCCCAAAACAGCAACAACTGGCTCTGGCTGCCTCCCGTAAGCCACCCTGGCCTGCAAGGGAAGCAAGCAAGCATGGGGAAGGGCTCCGGTCAGTGCCACGATCTCCCACTTGCTTCTCAAGCCACCCTGGCCCACGAGGGAAGCGAGTGGGAGATCGCAGCACTGGAGCCCTTCTCTGTGCTTGCTTGCTTCCCAAGCCAAAATACCTCCACGTGTGGCGATGGCAGCAACGGGGCCTTGAGCACCCCCTTGCCCTGGTCCTCCCAAAGGCAAAGCACCTCCATGTGCAGCGGTGGCAGCAGGGCCTTGAGCATTCTCCCCCCCCCCCCGGCTTCCCAACGTACCTCCACATGCAGCGGTGGCAGTGGCCCTGGCTGCCTCCCATAAGCAGCACCAGTGGTGGGATTCAAAATGTTTTACTACCAGTTCTATGGGTGTGGCTTAGCTTGGTGGGTGTGGCAGGGAAAGGTTATTGTAAAATCCCCATTCCCTCACTCCACTAACCTGCTTTCCAGCTCTGTTCTCCTGTGCAGGGCAACCAAAGAAGACCTAGCCAATCAGCTGGGACTCGAGAGGCAGAGAATAGATTGGGAGGGGGCACACACACAGAGGTGGTATTTGCCGGTTCTCCGAACTACTCAAAATTTCTGTTACCAGTTCTCCAGAACTGGTCAGAACCTGCTGAATACCACCTCTGAGCAGCACCGCCATCGCAGCACCTCCGCCCGCTTCCTTTCTGCCAGGAGAAGCAGGCAGAGGCAGTGGAGGCACTGCGGCGACAGCCCTGTTTATGGGAGACAGCCAGGTCTGCTGCCGCTGCATGTGGAGGTACTTTGGGAGGGCCGCAGCCGCCATATGGTAGGGAGAGCTGGGAGAGCGCTACGTGGTAGCTTAGCCAGCCAGCCGAGCCCGAGGATGGGGGGGCAGGTAGTTAGGCCCCAGCCAGTGCCGCCAGCGGGATGTGGCCGCACCGGTGGGGAAGCCAGCCAGCCAAGCCCGGGGATGAGGGGGAAGCCTGAGGAGCCCCGGAGATAGCCGCGGGAAGCCCGGAGCAGTGGGGGAAGGGCTAGCACAACTCACAGGCTTACCTATGAGCAGGCAGATCAATGGAGAGGATCATATCGGATCCGGGCTGCTTCCCTCACCTGCTCTTGCTGGGAGAGCCTCTCCTGGCAAAGCGAAAACCTTGCAAGTCCCCCTTCCTTTGGAAACGGCTCCTGGGCAGCAGAGAGAAACAGGATTCAACCGGGCTGCTTCTCTGCTGCCCAGGAGCCTTTTCTGAAGGGAGGGGGACTTGCAAGCTTTTCGCTCTGCCGCAGGAAAAGTCAGGCAGCAATGGCTGGCCTGGCAGGCGGGCAAAATCAGACTGCAGGCATGTCGCGCATGCACACGATCTTGCGCATGTGTGATAGGGACTGACTAGGCAGGGAGCAGAGAAGTGGGCAGAGAGGGACGGGCCAGCCAGAGGCCCAATTCACCGGTTCTCTGAACTACCAGGAACTGTAACAACCAGTTCTACCAAACCAGTGTGAACTGATAGAACCCCAC